TGGGTCAAGGGCCAGTCGGCGGGAGGCTGCCGGAACAACAGCGGCTTCCCCAGCAACCCCAAATTCTGGCTGCGGGTCTCAGAACCCAGCGAGGTGTGCGCAGCCGTCCTGCAGAGGCCCAGGGTGCGCACGGCCGACTGGGCTGGCCGGGCCCGGGCCCCGACGGGGAACGACCGCACTGCGTGGAGCCCGGCGGGCGCCCCGGGCAAGGACTACCCTGCCGTGGGCCTGCATCTCTGGAAGGTAACTCCACTGGTTGGCCAGCTCCTGCTCGGGGGCGGCGGGGTCAGGGGCAGGGCCCACTGAGGCCTGAGTCCCCGGAGCTGCGGTGCTGAGACACACGTGACTGCCAGGAGCCAGCCCCACGTGCCCCCCACTGCCCGGCTGTCCTGGGGGTCATAGGCCTGTGGGCGCTCCAGCGCTGATCTGGGTCTGCAGGACCCAGTTCCCTCTGCCTTGCCCAGGGGTGTCTGTCGGCCAAAGGAAAACAGAACCAAAACCCCCACAGAGCCGGCCAGTGGGCCGGGCCGTACGCCCCTGACCCATGCTCCTTCCGGGGAGCCGGGCTGTTAGAGCCCCTGCTGAGACGCCAGCCCCTGGAGGTCACTTCCCCTCTGCTCCCTCAGCCTCCTCCCTACCCGTGGGGATGGTAGCGTCCCGAGCTGACGGGATTGTCCAAGGAGCTGCCTGGCGCCCGATGGAGATGTCTGCCCTCCCGAGGGCACGGGGCGTCTGGTGCAGGACTGTGCTGCCCACTCACCTGGTTTTTCATCTCCTGCGTCCTGCTGAGGTCTGGCAGCTCACAGTGGCACAGTGTTCCCTGTCCCTTTGTGGACGTGGCTTACATCACGTTCTTTTTCTCCTGCACAAGGAGTTGTGGGCAGGCCTTTTGCTCGGCGGCCAAGGTTGCATTAGCCACGTGCTTTGGGGCCCAGCTGGCACTTGTGTCTGTTTTCCCTGGAGCAGGAGGGTTTGCAGCTCACATTGGGGACAGGACCGAGTGAAAGCTGGGAGTCGAGGGTGTTTTCAGCGGGCCCCTGAGAGGCCAGGGAGGGACCCACAGGCCCTAATGCCGGAAACGGGGCCGGACCGGTCTCTGACATTCACACGCAGGCCCCCTCTGCTCAGGTGGAGAAACGGCGGGTCAGCCTGCCCCGCGTCCTGTCCACACCCCCCGTGGCTGGAACTGTGTGCCATGCGTATGACCGCGAGGTCCATCTCCGCTGTGAGCTCGCCCCTGGGTATTACCTGGCCGTCCCCAGCACCTTCCTGAAGGACGTGCCGGGGCAGTTTCTGCTCCGGGTCTTCTCCAGCGGGGGCGTCTCCCTCAGGTGAGGGGACGGCAGGGCTGGCGGTCTCCCCCAGGGTCCTGCGTGCCCCTGCTGTGCCCGAGGCAGTTCCGCGTCGTGCTGCAGCCGCCCCCCTGTGCTTACCTTTCCCGGGCAGTGCCATCAAGCCAGTGACCGAGGGCCCTGACCCCGAGGAGGCCCTGTCCGAGGGCGAGTGGGAGACGGTGCAGCTGCGGGGCTCCTGGAGGGCCGGCCAGACGGCGGGGGGCAGCAGGAACTTCGCGTCCTACCCCACCAACCCCTGCTTCCCGCTCTC